TATCTATGCAAAAACAATCCAATTGAAAATCCAGTTTAATATTCAGTGGAGCAAAACCGAACAGAAAAGAAAAGGATTGAAGGTAGAATAGAAGGCAGTTGGTTTTAATTAGAAAAATACCAATTATCAAGGTGTCATAATAGAAATTGAGAGGAGCTTGGGGGAAGAAATGGCTTCTTTTAGAGGCAGGAGTTAAAAAATAATGAATTTTAAAGGAAAAATTAAGATTTTTGTTTTTTTACGTTGGGCGCCATTTTTGAAAATTGTGCAAAAAATCACAACAATGGTGGAAATAAAAAATTTTTGAATTTTTATTGTATAACAATGCGTATTTGTTATTTTTTTCATAATATTCATAAAATTCACGTTGGGCGCCATTTTATAAAAGTGTGTAAAAATTAAAAAAAGTGGATTTTTTTATTTTTTTTTTCATAATAAAATATTTTAAAAATTTTATCACTTTTAAAAATGTTATATAAAAAAGTATAACAAATTATAGCAAATGGCGCCCAACGTTTAAACTAATTTTTTTCTTCTTCTCTTTGTTACAACTATTTGCAAACAATTTCTTTTAGTTATAAAGCAAGTGTTGTTTATAGTTTTTGTTGTTATTGTTTTATATTTTCCAGTTACAAATATTTATTTACTGCAACAATTTTGAACAAGAGTTTTGTAGAAATTTATTTTTGTATTGCCTACTTTTAGGTAGGTAGGCAAGGCAATAAAACTTTGTTGCGTTTGTTGCTCAAGCTGAAAACTGAAACAACAATACTGATGATGATGATGCTTACGGCCTGGCCTGACGACTTCAGGCTAAATGGAAATAAAAAAAAAATCAATAACATAAAAACAAACAAGAATGAACAGGAAAAAAATTCGCTTTGATGCTGAATCCATTATTTCTCATAACAATAAATTCAGCAGAGCCGAACAATTTGAGGAGTACTTCAAGAGGGGGGACTGGAAGCATGAGGAAAGAGTTGACATCTAGAGATGTTATGACTGAATGAGTTTTTAAGAGCATGGCAGTGCCGCTCTCTCACTCTCTTTTCTGTATTCTCTTTGGTGGCATTTTGTTAAGGAATTAAATGCTATTAATTTTTTTATGTGACCCCTTTGTTTGGTGGGGGGTTTGAAGGGGTTAGTGGGAAAGAGAGAGGCCAGGCACCCATAAATTAGCCAAATTTGCCTATCAGTGGAAAATGAAAAATCAAAAATTTCCACCTAACAAACACACGCAAAAAACAAAACAAATGCCACAGACAAAGATGACACATTTCAATGGCGGTTTTCGAGGAGGCCTGAAAACATTGGTATGTCTGTGTGTGTGCGTGCCAGCATATTGTTGTGTCTCCACTTCTTATGGCCTGAAGATTTATTTTCATCTAGGCCTCTAACACACACACACACACACACATAAAAAACAAAACGAAAAACCATTAAAATTTTTCATTGACTCTCGATTTCGATTTTTTTCTATTCCGAACGAAAGAAGTGATCGGTTGTGTGCCTGTGTGTAGGTGGTGTTGTCACATTTATAATTCTTTTTTTCTTGTGTGTTATTTATTTTATTATTTATTCAATACATTTATTTTTATTGTTTTTTGAGCAAAAGCTTGCTTGCTTGTCCATAATAAAAATATGAAATTAATTAAGTGGAACAGTTCGGTGACATATCAAATCAGAATAAAAAAAACACACACACAAAACAATCGAGAACGAAAGGGATTAAATATTTTATAATTTATAACCTGACGATTGATTGCTTATTTAAGAAAAAAATCATGTGATGGCTTTAAAAAAGCAATATTAAAAAAAAAATCTAAAAATGGCGCCCAACGTGAAAATAAAAAAATTAAAAATAAAATGAAAATTTAATTAAATTTGAGTTATTTTTCACTAAAATTTCGATACCTAGCATTTTTTTCAATATTTTCTAATTTTTTTCAAAAATGGCGCCGAACGTAAAATTTTTAAAAAAAGAAAAACTTTACAAAATTAAATAACAAAATTTTAATGATTTTACAATAAAAATCAATACCAATTATTTTTTCCATTTTTTCGGAAAATTTTTTAAAATACGAATTTTAAAATTTTTTGAATGTTGGGCGCCACTTTTTATTATTTCACAAAAGCTGTAGAATTTAGCAGAAAATTATTTTTATTTTAATTAAAAAATTATGTAGCGTGTATTATTTCATATTATTGCAAAAAAACCGGAGTTTTGGAAAAAATTTGAAAAATTTTTCACGTTGGGCGCCAATTTTGAAAAATTTTAATTTTTACAATTTTATTACGGAAAAAAATTCTGTATGTAATTATTTCAGTAGAAATGCATATTTATGTTATTTTTCATAACAAAAAAAACTCAATTTGAATATGTTTTGAAAAAAATATGTTGGGCGCCAATATTTTTATTATTTTAAAAAATTCAAAAAATGCAAAAAAACGTCATAAAACTCAAAACAAAAATATTCCAATCTTATTTTTAAGCGTTTTGAAGTTAAACAATTTACTAAAGAGACCTAAAATTAAAATTTTTTTAAATGGCGCCCAACTGATTTTTAAAATTTAATTTCTTAAAAATCGTTTTTTCTTCTGGGAAAATCGAATTTCAAGTTTCATGTTTAAAAACCAATATCCTTGCCACGTCTTGTCTAATCCCAAATTGAAATTTTCACCGATTTTTTTCGAAGTTTGAGGAGATTTTTTTTTTCGCTTTTTTGAGGCAATAAAAATCTATTGAATCCAAAGGATATTCTCATTTACTCTGTTGGTGTGTTGTTGTTGCTTTCCCCCAAAATACTGTTTGTGGCCTTGTAAACGTATCGTAATCAAACAATTGAAGCATTCTATGCCATTTGTCATTCATGTGTTGATTTCCGTTTCCTATCCGTTGTCGTCCTGGACCAGGATTCAACAGTCAGCCAGCCAGCCATCCAGCCAGACAAAATGTTTGATGATGATACTTGACAAGAGAACAAAAACGCATGCCTTCCCGTATGGAATATTGCAAAAGAGGACATAAAGACTGGCTTTTATGTTCTCGCTAAGTGTTTGCTCCTTTGGGAATCGATTATCCTTGCAATTGTAAAACAATTTTCACATTTTTGTGTTTTTTACCTCCACAAAGAACCGATGAATGTGAAGTGGTGGAATATGAAACACACAATGGACTACTCCATTACCCAAGGTAAAGGAGAGAAACAGCTAAGCCACTTGTATGATTAGTTTTCTACTTTTTTCGCAACAAAGGATAACAGAAATATTCGAAGATGAAATCAAAGTTGCAGTTCGAATGACCTGCCATGCCTCTGAATGGAAATAGTGTTAAAACCACTAATACGCTTTTGATGGAATCGTTTTTTTTTTTGTGTTCTTGTTTTTGTGCAGAAATCATAAATCAAAGAATTTTTTTGAATGCTTCGCAAATTCACATATGAAATGGTTTTGGCAGGTCAAGCACTGAAATGATGCAATAATTGATGTGAACACTCAAAAAAACACACATGGGGGAGAGGTTATGTTATTTGATTCTATTTTTTCAATACACAAACAAACATTCATCCATCAACAAGGTCATATAAACTGTGTGAGCTAGCATTCTATTGAAGCCTTGCAATTGGATTTTTTGTTTACCAAAAAAAGAAATACACCATAGCAGAAGGGCTTTCAATGAGCACATGAATATTGTCCATACAAATAAAAAAAAAAAACAAGCATATCCTCTGAATTGCTGTTTAACCATGCAGGAATAATGCAAAACAAAACACGAAACTAAAAACTGTACAAATAAAATTGAATTAGCGTTTAATATTGTGTTATGCTCGAGTCCAAAAAAAAATCATTTTTTGCCATAACAAAAAAAAAATATGGCTAAAAAATCGTTTGATGTTTAATTAATTTAAAGCTTCAAAAAAAAAAAAACATTGAATGGGCAAACGAGGGCGGTGGGAGAACATGCAAAAATAAATCAATGGCATTTGAAATACCAAAATTTTAATAAAAAATCCTTATTTCCATGAAAAAATACAATTTTGAAAATTTTCACATTGGGCGCCAATTTTTAAATTTCTTAAATTTTCAACTTTTTGAGCATTTCTAACTCACATTCCATTAAAACTAACATATCTGCTGTTTAAATGCCTTATTTTGGGCGAAAAAAAAGATTTTTGAAAAATTTCACGTTGGGCGCCATTTTTTAAAAATTTTCCAATCTCAAAAAAAATTATTTTATTTCATTCTACGTGACAAACAGAGGACTTTTAGTTATTTTTTTTACAAATTTTTCCATAATTTCCCTCAAGAATTGATTTTAAAATTTTGGAGCCCAACGTAAATTTTTTTCAAAAAAAAATGTTTTTTTTGATTTTTGATTTTTTACAATTTCTATTTTTTAAGAATGACCTCTTTAAAAGACTCCATTCACTTTTTATTATTTTTCCCAAAAATTCTCTATAAAATTCCCCAAATTATTATTTGTTCTACTGTTTTCCTCTCTGTCCTGCTGATCCTCTCTTTCTCTTTTCCTATCCTGTGATCTCAAAATACCATTGTAGCATTTTTTGTACCTTACCATTTATGATTAACAATTTAAGGCCATATTATTTTTTGTTTTTTTTTTCTGCTAACCATTAAAATGATCCGCATCTATCCATCCATCCCGCCAAGAGATCATTCCTCCGATGATCGTTAAGTTTATGGCTTAATTTCGAAAGGTCACAAAAATGAAATCCAAATCAAAATAAAGCCTTGGCCGCCGCCACCATCAATAACAATTGTCATAAAATCAAACACCAAAGGCAAATTGATGCTGATGGATTTCAGCATTAATTGTTCGGGATGGAAGTTAGCTTTGGGATGGGATTAATAAACTTGGGCATTCCATGGATTGATTCCCTTGACTCATGACTATTTTTTTTCGAATTTTTTTTTATTACCGCTAATGGGAAATTTATGATACTCATCCAATTTTTTTTCTCCCCTCTCTTCCTCTACAGATTCTGGTTTACCACCCTATGGTGCTGGTCGTGATGATTCCATGTCGGATGATCGCATTGCTCACATCTTAAATGAGGCCTCCTCTTTGATGAAAGGCAGCTCTGGTGGTGCAATGCAACAACGTTCCGGCATGCAGCAAGAAGACTCACACAGCAATGAAGATTCGAAGTCGCCACATCAACCCTGTTCATCACCCTTCTATAGGGAGAATTTGAAATCACAAATGGAAACCAGTCTGCCAGCACCCGGCCACCTAAGGCCCGATGAAGTTAACCCGGAGAAAATGGCCAGATTATATCAAGAGATTATGGCTCGGGCACCCCGTGAAGCTTTTCCAGGGTAAGTAATTTTGAGAGAGGGAGACATTCTCTCCCTCTCTTTACTCTCTTTAAGTTCAGTTTTTCCTTACACTAAATTGTAGTTTTTTGCTTTCACCATTTTTCAGTGGCGGTCTACCTGCAGCTGCTGGCATGGGTGCCAATGCCTTCCCCGCCTTGGCTGCAGATGAGAATATGCGCCTGGCCTTTGAAAGGGAAATGAATAAATTGCAACAACAACAGCAGCAACAACACTCTCAACCTCCCAGTTTTGCCAATTTCTCTAGTCTCATGGCCCTGCAACAACAAATGCTGAACGGGGCCCAAGACCTGACTTTGGGTGGTAAAGATGATGGAGCCGCCCCTTCGCTCAACAAGGATCCCAAACTGAATGGCCAACGTCATTCCTTTGATGGTTCATCACAAAATTCCCTCAGCAATGCTGGTGGCGTGGCCTCCTCCACCTCAGGATCAGCAGCCGCTGTCGGACAATCCACACCAAATGCCAAAGATACCTCCGATGTGGAACGCCTCTACCCAGGTGGTATGGTGAAAAATGAACAGGGCAACAAGACCCCAGCACCGCCACTTTCCAGCAATGCTTCCACCACCACCAACAACAATTCGGCCGCACCCAGCCCCCTTAGCAATTCCATACTCCCGCCAGCAATGACACCGACCGATGATTTTGGTGCCACTGCCAGTCCTCTGCAGCGCATGGCTTCCATTACCAATTCACTGATTACCCAACCTCCTGTACCACCCCATCATCAGCCTCAGCAAAGGCCCACCAAGGCTGTCCTGCCACCCATTACCCAACAACAGTTCGATATGTTCAACAATCTGAACACGGAGGAGATTGTGCGCCGCGTCAAGGAGGCCCTCTCACAATATTCCATTTCCCAGCGTTTGTTTGGTGAATCGGTTTTGGGTTTGTCGCAAGGATCTGTTTCCGATTTGCTGGCCCGCCCCAAGCCATGGCATATGTTGACCCAAAAGGGACGTGAACCTTTTATCCGCATGAAAATGTTTTTGGAGGATGATAATGCCGTACACAAGCTGGTCGCTTCGCAGTATAAAATCGCCCCGGAGAAACTGATGAGGACCGGCAACTATGCCGGAGGACCACAAATCCCCCCAGGGCTGGTTGGTAAAATACCCCCGCCCATGCCAATGCAAAAGATGATGTCCGAATTGAAGCTGCAAGAACCTGCTCACATTATGCAACAGATGCAGGCTGCCGCCGTCATGTCCGCCGCCATGCAGCAGCATCAACAGCAACAACAACAGGTGGCTGCCGCAGCCGCTGCTGCCCAAGCCGCCCAGCAATCGCAACAGGCTGCTGCTGTACAGGCGGCTCAACAGGCCGCTGCCGCCGCCGCTGCTGCTGCAGCCCAACAACATCATCAAAGTATGCTGCTGACCTCACCCGGCTTGCCACCCCAACATGCCATACCCCTACCTGCCGCCGCCAACTCAAATCCCACCTCGGGAGCCAGTACCCCGGCAACCAACTCCACCGGGGGTGGTGCTGAAAAGAAACAGCCCATGATGATGCCCATCCATTCGCCACACCAGGCCAATGCCATGCGCAACATGCACCAGCACATGTCACCCACCGTCTATGAAATGGCCGCGCTGACCCAAGATCTAGATACTCAGGTTATAACCACCAAAATCAAGGAGGCCCTATTGACCAACAACATTGGCCAGAAAATCTTTGGTGAAGCCGTTTTGGGTCTCTCCCAAGGCTCTGTGTCGGAATTGCTTAGCAAACCCAAACCCTGGCACATGCTGTCCATCAAGGGTCGGGAACCCTTCATACGCATGCAGTTGTGGTTGTCCGATGCCAATAATGTGGATCGCCTACAGGCCTTGAAAAATGAAAGAAGAGAAGCATCCAAACGTCGCCGCTCCACCGGGCCCAATCAGCAGGACAACAGCTCGGATACCTCCAGCAATGATACCAATGACTTCTACACCAGCAGCCCTGGCCCTGGCTCCGTGGGCAGTGCCGGTGCCCCACCCAATAAGAAACAGAGAGTCCTCTTCTCCGAGGAACAAAAAGAGGCTTTGAGATTGGCATTTGCCCTGGACCCCTATCCGAATGTGGGTACCATTGAATTCCTGGCCAATGAACTGAATTTGGCCACCCGCACCATTACCAATTGGTTCCACAATCATCGTATGCGTTTGAAGCAACAAGTGCCACATGGTCCCCCCGGCCAGGAGACCAATATTCCCACACGGGAGAATACCAATTCCACACCCTTCGATCCCGTCCAGTTTCGTATTTTACTGCAGCAGAGATTGCTAGAATTGCAAAAGGAACGGATGGGTTTGGGTGGCAATAATACGCTGCCATATCCTCCCTATTTTGCTGCAGCCGCTTTACTGGGTAGGTCATTGGCTGGTATGCCAAATGCTGCTGCTGGGGGTGCCGTGCCCAATGAAGCTGAGTTACGAGCCTTAAATCAAAAATTCCAAGAACAAATGGCGGGGCTGGATCTGTCGATGAGCTCCCTGAAACGTGAACGCAGCGATGATTTCGATGATGATCTCGATGATGGCCATATGAGTGAAAATGAAAATGATTCCATGGATGGTGAGAGTGCCGATAAGACCAATGAGTTCAAGGCGTTGAGTAATCATGCCCAGCAATTTCTGAATAATATGCGTTTGAATCGACGCAAACCTGCCGCACCACAATGGGTTAATCCTGCCGTGCCCTCAGGACAAATGTCGGGTCAAATGGAAAACTCTTCTTCGGAGAGATTAATAAATGGTGAGGAATCTTCGATGACCTCCCAACCACCACACAATCAGGAAGAGGAAAGCCTTGGCAAATCCGACGACCATAGCGACATGGATCATGGCCATCATCATTTGGTCATGGAACCGGAGGTATTAATTAAACAAGAAAAAGAAGACTGTGAAAGTGATAACGAAAAACGGGACATCGACACCACCACCACCACCACACTGCGGAGTAATGAAGCCGGAGACGGAGCAGATGTTCCTGCGAGTAGTCCAGCCGCCACCGCTGTCTCCACCAGTATTATGTCAAATGCCTCAACGTGGAATTACTAAGCGAATCCAAAGAGAGCGAGAGCGAGTAGAGAAAATCAACCACAACAAAATGATATTTTTTTTTAGAAAAGTAGCTGCTTGGCAACTCTCAGCCCCATGAGGGAGAGGATGGCCGGAGAGAGCGCGCCTAGCAGTTAGAGAGAAAGAATATCATTCATATAATCAGCCACTCTTTTACTTTATTTGCTGGTCCTTCGGGGCTGGGGCTTTTTTCTCATACTCTCTCTTTAAAGAGAAAGAGAGAAAACCAAAGATTTAAAAATTTCTAGAGAGAGAAACAGAGAGAAAAGCCTGGCAAACGACAAGTAAAAGAGAGGTTCTCAAAAAAAAATTAGAATATGTAGTATACCAATCACAGAAGATGATGTGTGCAATTTAAAAGAAAAAATTTGAAAATCCCCCATTAATTAAAAAAAAAATCGGAAAATTTAAAAAAAAAATTTTGAATTTTTTTCGAAAAAAAATTAAAAAAAATTGGGAAAATTTTTAAAAAATGGAAAAAAATTGGAAAATTTTTCGAAAATAAGTTTTGAAAAAATACATATGTTAAGAAAAAAAAATATTTCACCAAAAATTTAAAAAAAAAATATTTTCACAACAAATTTTGAAAAAAATTATCCTAAAATTTTGAAAAAAAAAATATTTTTACCAAAAATTTTGGAGAAAATATTTTTTTCAGATATTGGAATTTTTTTTTAAATTTTGAACATTTTTCTCAAAATTTTGAAATTTTATTTTTTTAATTTTTTTTCAAAATTAAAAGAAAAATATATTCCAAAATTTTGAAAAAAAAAATTGAAATTTTTAATAAAAAAAACATTTTTTCCGAAATGTTGAAATAATATTTTCTCCAAATTTTTTTTTTGAAAAAAATTTGAAAATTTTAGTAAAAAAAGTATTTTATCCAAAATTTTTCAAACAAAAAAAAAAAACAAAATTTTTCAAAAAAAAAATATTTTTTCCAAAAAATTTTTTTCGAAAAAAATTGAAAATTTTAATAAAAAAATATTTTCTGTTGTGATTAAGTTTGAAAAAATGAGAGTTATTGGTTTCCCCCCTTCACCACCCCCCAAATAACTTGCCCATGTAAATAGTAGAAATATTAAGCCACAAAGAAAGAGAGACAGAGAGAGGGAGTAGGGCGGCAAACAACTCTCACCACCAATACAATTGAAAACAAAATGAGTATTATTCGTTGATTTCTAAGTTTTAGTTTTATTTTATTTTTAATTTAATTTTTTCTTCTTCTTCTTCCTAGACGATAAAGCAAGACTGTATTTTTTAAGTTACAAAGATTTATTATTATTTTTTTTAATTTAAAAAAAAATTCTAATATTAATTTATAAAATTTATAAATGTAAATATTGAAAAGAAAAAAAACGAAATGTAAATATGAAAAAATTTCAAGAAGAAAAACAAAAAATGATTTTACTTCCTTTTTGATCTCAAGCGAACAACAACAAAAATGATGACTTTTTATAAAACAAAAAAAAATATATTAAAAAAATTCAAAAAAAGGTAGTTAAAACATTCATAATAAAAATTAATAAAAAAGAATCTCTTTTTTCAAAAAAAAAAAAATTAAACCAAACATGGTTATCCCCCCACACACACACACACAATAAATAAAATATATATTAAATATATATAAAAAATAAAAAAATAAATATTAAATGTAGATGAATTTCTTCTTTACAAAAAAAAAATATTAAATTAAAAATAAATAAAAAAAAAATTAAAAAAATTAAATTAAAAATAAAAAATAAATTTAAAACAATAAAATTTAAAAATTAAATAAAATTGAAAAAAAAAATCCACTCCCTTTAGCATATCGTTTATTCTTAATAAATAAAAACAAAAAACAAAATATTATAACAACCTTCAATAAGTTTTCCAATACCTAAAAATTAATAATTATTATTAAATATAATAATAAAAATTATTATATATAAAAAAAAACAAATAAGACATACATACCTAAAAAAATCGATAAATCCTAAGTTTTCCTAATTAATTTATATATAAATAAAACAAACAAAAAATTAATATTAAGCAAAACCAAACACCCCACTTCCTGCTACTCTGTAAATAAAAATTATTTTTATTTTTTTAGAATTAAGCCAAACAGTTATTAATTATTATTATTACACAAATTATTATTAATTAATTAATTAATTAAGTAAAACAAAAAACAAACAAATTTTTAATTCCCTTAAAAATTTTCAAAATGTTTTTCTCTTCAAATGTTATGTTAATTAAGCCACCAAAATCGCTAAAACAATAAATAATTTTTAAAAATTAAAAAAAATGAATGTTTTTTTCTTTCTTTAATTTTTTTTTTACAACCATACCAGAATTTTTTGCATTTCTATTTTTTTTTAAGTTTTATTATTTTTATTTTTAAATATTATATATAATTTAGTAATAAAAATCAACATAGTTTTATTTAATTTTATTATATATAAAATTTTTATTATTTTAAAAAATTTTAAAAATTTTAATTTTTTTCTGCAAATTAAAAAAACAAAAGAAAAATATATATAAATATTATAAAAAAAATAAAACAAATTAGTTTTTTTATGGGGAAAAAATATAAAAATAATAGATTTTTTATTTAATTAAAAAAAATAAATTAAACACAAACAAAGAAAACCAAGCACAGCTGGGCAGAGGAACCTTGGTCCTCGCAAACGATTTTTTATATATAACATAAAAAAAAATAAAATTAAAAAAAAAATAAAAAAAGAAATATAAAAAAAAACAAAAAAAAAAAAATAAATATAAAAAAAAATAAAATAAATAGGGATATTTGGCCAAAAAAAATTATATAAAGAAAATAAAAAAAACCTAAATAATAATAACAATAATATAATATAGAAAAATAATATATAAAAAAATAAATAATAAAACTAAAAAAATGTTTAATAAAAAATAAATAATAATAATAAAAAAATATTTTATATAAAAAAATAAATAATAAATTGAATAAAAATTAAATGAAAAAAATGAGGAAATATAAAATAATAAAAAAAATTAAAAAATATATACATATAAATAATAAAAATAAAAAAATAATAAAATATTAAAAAATATACATATATAAATAATAAAAATAATAAATAAAAAATATATAAAAATAAAAAAAATATTTTATATAAAAAAATAAATAATAAATTGAATAAAAATTAAATGAAAAAAATAATAAAAAAAATATATAAAAAATTAAAAAAATAAAAAAATAGGAATAAAAAATATACATATTAATAATAACAATAAAAAATATATAAAAATATTTTATATAAAAAAATTAAATAATAAAATGAATAAAAAATTAAATATAAAATATAAGTAAAAAAATTAATAAATAATATATGACAATAAATAAAAATAAATAAAAATATATAAAACTAATAATAATACATTAAAAAATTAAAATACAAAATAAAATAATATTATAAAAAGTAATAATAAAATAAAAATAATAAAAAAATTCATTTATATGAAAATAAAAAATAAATAAAAAAATATATAAAAAATTTGTATAAAAAAAATAAATAATAAAATTAATAAAAATTAAATATAAAATATAATAAAAAAAAATAATAAATTATATAACAATAAATAAAGATATATAAAAATAATAATATATTAAAAAATTAAAATACAAAATATAATAATATGAAAATAAAAAATAATAAAAAATTAAATAAATAACAAAATTAATAACTGATATAACAATAAATAATAAAATTAAAAAATGTATAAAAAATGTATAAAAATATAATAAAAAAAATTATAAATAAAAATAATATAAACCTGAAAATTATATATAAAAATGTATATAAAATAAATATTAATATAAAAAAAATTAGGAAATAAATAAAAAATACTATAAACAAATAAAAAATTATAAAATTAATAAATAATAAAAATTTAAAAATATATATTTAAATATTAAATTTAAAAATGTATAAAAATAATATATAAAAAAAAATATAAAAACATAATAAATTAAAATTATATAAATTTGAAAACTAGATGAATACAATGTATATATAAAAATTATTATAATAAAAAATATTATTTTTTTGAACAAAAAAAATAACAATAAAAAACCAAGTTATTTAGTTTATTATATAGTTATCAAAAAAAAAAAATATATTAAAACAAAAAAAAACATCAAAAAATAATTAAATAAAAAAATTAAATCATCACACATTAAGAAACAAAAAAATAAAAATATTATTAAAAATAATATCTCAAAACATATACATAAAGGAAATTAGAGGTCCGCCGGGTCCTCTTTCAAAATTTGAAGAAAAAAAGAATAAAATAAAATTAAGTAAAAAAATTATACACACACAGAAACTTTTGGCCCTTTTTAAAAACACCCACACACACAAACCGACTCTTCTTTATACACACACCCACACACTCGAAGAAATGAATGAATAAAATAAACGCGTACGTAATAATTATAAATAAAAAAATTTAAAATTAATTATAAATTAATATTAAAAGAAAAATTAATATAAAAAAAATAAATAAAAATAAACCCAAAATAATATGAAAAAATATTTCAAAAAAAAATTTAAAAAATGCATTTTTTATTTCAAGGAAGAAAATCGCAATTTTTTTGGTAAACAATTGGCAAGTTTTCTATTAATTTTTTCGATTTTTGGAATTTTTATATAGAATTTTTAAACAAAAAAAAAATTATATTTTCGATAAAATATATTTTTTGGGGAAATTTAAATAAACTTTGAAATATTAAATTTCGAAGACCTCAGAAGGTATAGAAATTCTTGATCTGAAATTAAAATTCAATTTCTTTTTAGCCATTTTCGACTATCCGATCTTTCGTCTATTAAAATCACTATAGAGGTGGTAATATTTAAGATCGAGCATTGTAGCCTGGCACATATATTGCCACAACATTGTTTGGTATTGAAAATAGAATTCATTGGCCTATGTTCCGGGGGAGGTCCCCATATAATGCT